CGTAATTCGTTGACTATAAACGTTTTTGTTTGTGTTCCCCGTCCCCCCGTCCCCGTCCCCCCCCCGTTTGTTTCTCACTTTGTTCCCTTCTGGGAAAAAATAAAAGCAGAAAACTACCCCGTTCCCCAAATTCACCATGCTTTTCTTTTTTCTTTACTTTCTAGTCTCCCATAAAAGGAATTATCCATAAGAAATTATAGAAAGGGGAAGAGATTAGAATTACTTTGAAAAAACAGTATTTGTTTCTAAAGAACTACTAGTTTCCTAAGTAAAAATGAAAGTCCCCTTTCTTAAGCAGTTGTGTTCCATAGGAACAATTCAAAGGAATACCATATCACTCTTGTTTTACTCTTTTAACATAAAGCTATTTAAAAATCTACTACATTCTGGAAAAGAAAACCTTTTCCCCTGAACTCTATGTTAGTTACTTTGGGTTTGCAGGTTGTTTTTTTTTCCATTGCAATGCAATAGTTATGGGAACACCTGAATAACTCTTCCAGGTCTTCTATGAAACAGAACAACTACCATTTTATTAAAGATAAGGAAATTCAGAAAGAAAATTGTTTTTAATCATATAGTTTATAGAAAAGTATCAAATTCAAGTTCTAGGGATACTTAAAAGCATTCACTGAAAACAAAATTATTCTTTCCAGAAAAACGTTGCTTGAGTCAAACTGTTCTAATTTTTTTAAATTCTGTATTCTTGCTCTCATCTTTAACCCATGTCCAACAGTCTTGTGCAGTTATAAAAGTATAAAACTTAAATTATTTGACATCTGAATCAATTGAAAAGAAGAAGCTAAACTATATAAGTAGAATTAGAGTAATAAACTACAGTTACTCACAGGTGAGAACCTGAGGTGTGTTTTGTATTTTGGTTTTGATGGTGAAGGACCAACTCCCTATCCTTGCTATCTGTTGCCACTATGGTGGCAGTCATTTTTTTTATTGATGGGTTATTGCTGCATGTTTCAGACTTTATTATCCCAAGAAAGTAGAAGAGGTAATTCAAATTTTCAGCACTTTTCTGTTCTAAAGTAATGATCAAAATAGAAGACGTAAAGATGCTTTATGGTGAAGTAACTACCAGCTCACTGTGGCTCTCTAGAAAGGAAAAGAACCCACTTGCTGTTACGTTTCTTGTACCAGCAGACATACAGAGAATTCCTTCTCTTTGCTTATTCATTGTACTAATCACCCACAAAAATAAAGCCAACAATAGAGTTTCATAATTAATTCCCTGTAACAACAGAAGAGCTTGGGAATAGAAAACTGGAAGAAATAGACGTTAATTTGTTTCTGTACTTTTCTTTCTCCACCTAATACTGGAGAGTAAAACGGAGGTAAACCAGTATGTGATTAAGGCGTTGGATTAGGATTCAGGTAGTCTTGGCTTGATTTGAGGTATTTCCACAGTTTTCCTTTGTGAACCCTGTCTTTTGCCATTTACTTTTTCCATCTGGAATAAGAGGATATGGGCATCTCCCACTGTTAGTCCAATACATTTACATTGTCAGCTAACAGCTTACTTTCTAGAATTCCTAACTTTGAACTGAAAATGCTTAAAATTCTCTTTACAGCCTTTTTCAAGGGGGCATCTCATGGAAAAAAAAAAGGCCTCAGGAAAAAAAAAAATCTTTTTGTCTAGTAATTTATTTCATAGAACTGTATGGCAATTGTAATGTCATATGAAGCTGGGTAAGAGTTACAAGTTTATTCAGTTGTGGTTACTTGTCGTGACGTGCCACAGAAGACAGATTTTGCATGGAAACTTTGTGATTTCCGCCCCCTTCTCAGCAAGTTCTAAACGTGTTAAAAATGGAAACCTTTTTCAGTACGAGGTTATTTGAAAATTCAACAGAATTTTTGCAGAAGTATTTCTGCACTAAACAGTGGTCTTAGTAAAACTGATTTTAAAACGTTTATTTTGGGTTGAATGGGATGTTGGAATGTTGTGTTTGGGGTTGACTGGAAGCAGTTTGAGAATGGGAATGGAAAGGGTGTTCTCCATTAAAGTTTGAGCCAAACGGTTTATTTCACTTTTGATTCAACTGCCCAACTACAAACATCAGTTACATTGCCTCATTCGCAGCAAATCTCCCATGTGCTCCAGCCCACTTAAAGCAGTGTTTGCATACTCCGGTTCCTTGCTGCTGCAACTCATATGGCATTTCACTTCTGTTGGAGAACAGTCGGTACTCAGCCGTCGCCTTTGGCAGCTGGTGTGCCTTCCCAGGAAGTTCAGCTGCTCGTATTGTTAGTTGTCAGACGCTTGGTTTACATAAGAAACTGGTGAGCCAGGAAAACTGTCTCTTCTGATGCTGCCCATAGGTACTCATTTCTTTCATCTCAATGGTCTGAAGTTTTGTGTTCATTTTCAAAATTCAGCTAAAATGAAGTTATCAGACTTTCTGCAGAAAAACATATGCACAACAGAGGCTTCCTCCCAAGCACTAATTAAGCAATTTCAGTAATTGGCTATTTATTAAATGCTGAATTTAACTTCTTACCCTATTTCTGTACATTGCAGTTTATTTACTGGTACTGAGTAGTCTGGATTTCCTAGTTATTTTTTGTCACTGTACTTTATTATAAATAAACACACTTTCTGTATCAAGTGCTTCTCACTTGATAGCAGAAGCACCACACAGTAGAGTAACAGATGATTTATAGGGTGAATACATGGTTATTTCCTCCTCTAAATTGGAGTTTGGCATTAAGGAACTATCCAAGGAACCACTAAGTGTACTTGCCAAGTAATTTAATTTCATGGTACGTGGTCCCAAATCCCAGAAGATCTAGAGTAGCGGGACTGGATAATTCAAGTACATAATATTGCAGGTTTCATTTGGATGCATTCTTTCAAAGCAATGAATTCTTCGTCTCTGCTGTGGAAGTTTGAATTAGAAAACTTGCTTGTGAGCTTAATGCATGGGTGTTGACCACAGGGCAGGTTTGGTTTCCAACCTTTTTTTAAAGACTAAAGATGCCTGCAGGAATCCAAGAAGGTATGTGGGATCTCCTCTCCCCCTCTCTGACCTGTGAGGGGATGAACTGTTCCTTCTACTAAAGCTCACACAGAAAATCAAGAGGGAGAAAGGGGAAATCTTCACTAAGATTTTTCAGAGGATTCATGACCTCCTGGATTAGCTCCAAAATTCAAACTTAAAACTTGGATGTCCCTGGAAGCCAGCAATAGATGAGACCCATGCTGATACCTGAAGCAGCCCTCCCGAGCTGGAGTTGTTCCACGTCCTCCCTTTAAGGGCTGTATTTCCATAACTTAACGATCTCCGCTGGAACGGGAAACGATGGCAGTACCTCAGCAAGGAGCCCAAGCTAGAAACATGTGCTGATGAGAGAGAAGGCTATTTAGTGGAAAGCACTCTGCTTCTCACTGTAATGAGTCCAACTCTCCCATTAAAAAAAACCTCTCAAGACCATGATGCAATCCCTAAACCAAAGTAAGCTCACCTATATGGAGTGATGCATCAGGAAATTTGCTTACGCTTTCAAATGCTTGCTTTTCCGTGTTCCTTTGTGCTCCACTATCCTGCTGTGATCTGCTCCACATTTATGTCTTAAGCGTTACCTCCCTGGCTGCGTAATCCCCTGTATTCACAGGCAGCCAGCGCCAGTCGGAACGTTTTTGTAAGTGTTGCTGACTTGGTACCCACTTTTTCTCCTTTCAGATATCGAGACTGCCAGTGACATTGCCTTGTACTCTGGCCTGGGAGCAGCAGTCATTGCTGTAGCTGTGCTGGTGGTTGGCGTTACCCTTTACAGACGGAGTCAGAGTGAGTACGGCGTGGATGTGATTGATTCATCTGCGCTGACAGGAGGCTTCCAGACATTTAATTTTAAAACAGTCAGACAAGGTTAGTGTTGTGATTTCATTTTCTTCTCTCCAGAGCGCCTGCTGCAAAGAGATACTAAGCTCACGTTCAACGACTGGCTGTGGGAGGGCATTCTAGCGCAATACTGAGGTTGAAAACCAGGGAAGGGCAGCTGCAGAACGCGGGGCAGGATCTGGTGGTTAGAACTGTCTCTTACTGCCTCTGCTACTGATTTGTCAGGAGAACCTGGACAAATACATAATCTTCCTTGACCACACACTTAACTGCTTTAGAAATACTGTCACTAGCTTCTACACTGACATTTGTGACTTACAAAAAGCCCAAACAAACAAAAACAAATAAAACAAAACAAACCCAGAAAGCATGTCTGTAGTTCCTTCCTATTCAGTTACAGATCTTTTATTTTATTTACTCCAATAAAAGTGATTCGTTTCTTACTGTTAATTTGAGAAATCCAACTTGAAGTATTTTTATAAGCTGCTGTTAGCATGCAAACATCCACATTCTGAGGTCTGTGGGAAAAAAATGTGCATCAACATGTATTGATTAAAAAAAAACAACACAAACATCCAACTTCAGAAAGCCACTTTTGTTCAGTAAGATAGCATCATGGTTTAGCCCCAGCCGGCAACTGAGCGCCACGCAGCCGCTCCTCACTCCCCCATGGTGGGACGGGGGAGAGAATCGGCAGAGTAAAAGTGAGGAAGGTCATGGTTTGAGGTAAAGACAGTTTAATAACTAAAGCAAAAGCCACGCACGCAAGCAGAGCAAAACAAGGAATTCATTCACCACTCCCCATGGGCAGGCGGGTGTTCAGCCATCTCCAGGGAAGCAGGGCTCCATCACACATTAACGGTTTCTTGGGAAAACAGACGCCATCACTCCAAACGTCCCTCCAGCCCCTCCTTCTTCTTCATCCCAACTTTATATACTGAGCATGACGCCATATGGTATGGAATATCCCTTTGGCCAGCCTGGGTCAGCTGTCCCGGCTGTGTCCCCTCCCAGCTTCCCGTGCACCCCCAGCCTTCTCACTGGCAGGCTAGCACGAGAAGCTGGACTGTCCTTGACTGCTCAGGAACAACTTGAAACATCAGCATGCTATCAACATTTTCTCATCCCAAGTCCAAAACACAGCCTCACACTACCTTCTGTGAAGAAAACTAACTCTATCCTGGCTGAAACCAGGACAGATAGGGAAGAAATATTTACTTTTACTAAAAGCAGCACTCAGATGTTTTCTGGAATGTTATTTCTCTTGGAGAGAAAGGTAGGGAGGAAAAGAAGCGGTGATTACTTTAAAAGAGTGTTTCCTTAATTCTGTACTGATATTCTAACATAGAGACCTGCCTTATTGTGGGTGGGTGGGTGTGCTGGTGGGGTGTGGAAGCATCCCCATGTCTCTTCTCTTTTCAGAAAAGTGAAACATGTTGCAGAGATTTTTGTTTTGGATTTTTCTTATGTTGTTTTTACAGTTACTTTTTCTGGGAGTTTTTGCAGTCTTTTTCTGGGAGACATTCCTCACCAAGCATAAATTGTAAGAAATTGGAAAAAGGGCTTGGTAGACAAAGAAAGATGTTTGAAGGATGTTTACTCATTCAAAAATGCAAGCCTTTAATTAGCGTCATGTAATTCTCAATGACTGTCTCAAATAGTACCTTTTTCCTTTGTTGTTCAGCTTGCCATGGAAGTCTTGTTTTAAGTCTGGGGAATTGTTGTTTGACTTACTGTTTCAAAAACATCAGTTCTGGACACTCTGAAAATATCTGAGCCTGCCAGCTTCTCTTATGGCCAGATGCTATTAGTTCAGTTTCAGTTACCTTGGGTTCTCTGTGGGTTTTTAAAACATGAGCATTTGTAAACTAAACAATTAATCTGGAAAAAAAGGCAATTCTCTGTTCAGTTTGCTGAGAAAAGAGTGCACAATTGTATATGGACAATGGATCAGTGATCCAAATTTTATTCTTTGGAGAAATGTATTTATAATTTTAGCAACCCAACCTGCAGTCCCTTGAAGTGATGAAATTTTCAAGGATGCAGTACAGATAATTTCAAGAAATTCTGTTACTTTGGAAAACTTTTATTTACTGAAAACAAAAAAAGTCCCCAAAATCCCAGGGAAAAAAAAACCTAACCAAAAAAGACCAAATTAGCTAAAGAATTCAGCCCTACAGCTATCTGTTCCTTTTCTTTCTCTTTTTTTTTTAATGTTTTCTGAACTAAAATGCTTCTAAATTGAACAACTGTGGTATTTTTCCCTATATTACTCTTGTCCCACTTTCTTTTCAACCCAGTTTCCCTCAGGCATGGAGCTATTATTCTGTGTAAGCTCACGAAAAGGTTTGCAGGAAGATGTGTTTTCACCTAATGGGTTTTAATTTAAAAAAAAAGGGGGGGGGGGCGGGGAAAAAGGCATACACAGAAACCTGAATCCAAAACAAAAGGAAAGTTCCTTCCTGGATTCATGCACGCTGGAGTTGCCTGAGGTGCAGAAAAGATAGTGATGATGTACCTGTTACATCTATTGTATCATTTCATCTGTTTTTTAATGTTACCTTATGTGATTTTGAGCTCTGAGAGTATCAAGAAGGAAGAGCAAGTCAAAAAGGAAATGGTGGAGAGGTCAGAAAGAGATTTCTGATTTAACATTTTAATGCAGTAACTAACTCCCTCATCTGCTTCATCCTACCAGGTAACTCCCTGCTGTTGAACTCCTCCATGCAGCCTGACTTGACAGTGAGCAGAACGTACAGTGGGCCAATCTGCCTGCAGGATCCCCTGGACAAGGAGCTAATGACAGAGTCTTCACTGTTCAACCCACTGTCGGACATCAAAGTCAAAGTTCAGAGTTCATTCATGGTGTCCCTAGGGGTGACAGAGAGGGCCGAGTATCACGGAAAGGCACATTCTGGAACTTTTCCTCATGGGAATAATAGAGCTTTCGGTACAATACAGGCTAGAAACAAGGCTACGTATATTCAGAACCTGTCTTCAATTTCAACACGAAGTGAGCTGAAGACAACTGCTGTTTTTGGACACCTGGGTGGCCGTTTAGTGGTTCCAAACACAGGTGGGTAGATACTTTCTCATTAAAAGCATATAAAATAATTTTAGACTCAACTTATTTTGCCCGATGCAGGGTTCTAAGACTAAATTTAAAAAAAAAAAAAAAAAAAAAAGAAAAGTCGGGGCTCCCTTAATGCAAATTTTGGGAAGTAAAGTATGTTGCCCACACAGGAGATAAGTGATCAGAACAAAGTTTGGGATGAGTAGTGAAGAGGCATTATGCCGATTTGAACTGTCATAAATTACTGCCTCTCTTGATGTCTTCAGCATGAAAGTCGTATTAATCAAAGCTGTTGGATTGATCCAAGCTACTTGGATCCCGATCCAAAAGAACGGTTCCCCAGGAAGGAGGTCGATACTGGATCAGCATCTTGTATAACGGGGTCATATTCAAAGCAGAATCTACATGTGTCAACATCTGACTGCATTAACATTGTCAGACTTCATTATGTTATTAAAGTCTGCAGCGTATAACAAACAGATGTCTCTGGAGAATAGCTTCCACTCTCGATGAAAACTCTGGTGTGGCTTCGCTAGCATTGACTCCTGGCTTTCTGGTTTTCTCTTTCTTTTAGCTTAATAGCTTGACAGATTTCCATAGTGGGGCACTTCAAAGTCAACAGGCATTTCAAGATTGGGCTGTGCACTGAAACATCGCAGCAGAGATGCTCAATCTGCATTGTTTAAGAAACAGAGTTTGTTTTGTGACTTGAGAGTTTTGTGAGACCTATTTTAGACTTAAGAAATTGTTTGTTGAATTAGCTGAAAACAGACGGCACCAAATTAGAATCAAATAAAGGATGTTAAAATCATGTTCCTGCAGTATGTTGCACTACATCACTATGTTCTTATCACACTTAATAAAGTTCCTTATGTTGGGTACTTTCTTTTTCAAAATGGCAAATGTAGCAGAAATCGCCAGATACCACAATTGCTAGCTAAGAGGATATCTTTCGAACTTCGGTGATCTTTATTTGAAACCTTTAAATTCAGCTTTGATTTCATTTGACTAGTGTGTCCAGGCTTATCTCTTAGCATCTAGTTGAACTGAATGCTTTAGAGCTTTACCCTTCATGTTTTGTAAAATGGGTACTTTAAAGGTTACCATAAAAAATGTGGTCTGTATTTAGAGAAGACTGATAACAGTATATAATTCAGGGATACAATATTTAGTGTGCAACACATGGAATATATTAATTTCTTCACAGGTTGTTCAGGAATGAAGATTACAAAGGTTGAGGCACTTAGTTCTAAGTCACAAATGGAGAAGTGCCTCACACTATATATTTACCTACTTTATATAATGATGGTGCCATCAATTAGATTGTTCAACTACATATTTCTTTCTCCTTGCAATTTATGTACTTCCTTCTACCTATTTATGTAACATCAGATTTGCTAACCCATTGTAAATTATAGTGCAATCATGTCACTACACAGCTGAGGTTCTGCATTGTGTGACATATGCAAAGTAAAACCTAGTCTTCCTGTATTGAGCATGCTATACAACAGTTTTATTTCACTGGTACCTGGTGGAAAGCATCCTTGTTAACGTCTCATTGATACTAGTGGAGTAAAGCAAAAATCATATCACTTGGATTCAATACATATTATGTACATGAACTAATGGGTATGGTGATTTCCATGCAAATTCAGGTTAATTTGTTTAGGTAGTCTCTCCGTTATCAGATTCCTTGTGATCCTAGAATTATCAGATGTGATTTCAAAGTTAGAAAGGGGCAAAGATGTTTCAAGGGAAGTTGAGACCATGATCCTGTCTTGTAAAACATGGAGCTATACAGATGACCAGACGTGTACCACTAAGGCATTTTGGCAAATAAGAGTGAAAGAGTCAACAAATGATTAAAATATTTTGTAATTGGCTTGCCCTAACTGCCTTCCAGAAACCGGCAAAGGCTAACTTAAAAGTTACCAAAGACACACATGCTTTTGACTGTATTTATTATTTAAAAAAGAAAAAGATGGAAAGAAAAATTAAATGGAGAACTCAAAAGAGATTGTTCTGTTGCTGCATCGGATAAAAGCTTGTCAGGGTAAGACGACCCTCAAAGTGACTGGGATTACAAACCACCCTTGCTGGAAGCCTTAAGGAAATAGCTGATGGTACCTTTTGCTTCCATGACTTATGCCCTTTTGTGTAAGTGGTGAAGTAGTTGGAAGAGCCTGCCTGTACCCCAGGATGAAGAGAAGTCTTCAGTCACATCTAGCTATGAATTCAGTGTCATTTAGTGAAACAAAACAATGGGAAGTCAACTATTTAAGAGCTCTGTTGGAGCAAGAAGTGTTTAGGCATATGAGTGTATGTAATTCCAGACTCTGTAAGACATTCAATATTACTAACTATGTGGATCATATTAATAATGTATTTTCCTTTCATCTGACAATGTTGTAGTCAGAAAACCCCTATAACCCCTATTTCAGAGGAGCATTCTTCTGCTCTAGTAGACGGCCCTTCTAGGTCTTGTAAGTCAGAGCCCAGTTGTGCATGGTTCTTCACATCCGGTGCCTTTCCCAAAGGTAAGTTCTGCCCTTGCTCTTTTGTAGGAGTCTGTCTGTTGATACCACATGGAGCTATTCCTGAAGAGAGTTCGTGGGAAATCTATCTTGCAATCACTCAACAGGAGTCCAGGTAAGAAGTACATAAAACACACGTCCAGAATCTGTGAACTGTCTCATTGAATGGATTTCTGGTCAACGCTGTGTAAAGGAATGGAATGTGCAAGAATCACTCCATCTTCCAGGTTGCTGGTGTGACCACACTGTTGTGACATATGCTATATCTGTATAAATGGCAGCAAAAATAAACTGTGTGCGATGCTTCTGTGAAATCAGACGGAGTTATTGCAAATGCTGTTAAAGGATGGGATACCTCAAAGAGATTGATGCATGACTAAGTGCTGAATTATCACTTTTGATTTGCAGACTTGCATCACACAAGTCTACTAACAGTACACATTAATTACTTGTTATAGAACCTTTGGGCCCATAGACTCTCGTAACATGCAGACAACAGGTTAAAATTCACTATCCAGGTCATCCGTTTGAATGACCCTATGGTATGTAGATACTGAATTATTGTTACTTCATGACAGATGTTTGGTAGCGTAGATGGTGTGAATAAGTGAATGCTTCTGAATGATTTCTGAAATTATTTTGTTTTATAAATCACCATCAAAATCTGTTCCCCAGCTGGATTTGTCAGCAGCAGCTGATGAACAGTAGAAATTAAACTTAACCACCCAGTTAGTGCTCTGAGGTTCTTAATGTTTCAGCTCTGTCATATTTATTTCAAAGACAAGAAAAAAAAAATTAGAACAATCAGAAGAACTATGGTTTTGGCAAATGCAGGTCATTGGCGGGGGGTTATGTATGGTGGATCATGTATGTTGCAAATGTCCGTTGTACAAAAGAAATCTAGCTCATTTCTAGATGCTTTAAAAGCTTTTAAAGTGTTCTGTTAGATGCATGGCACTAAATTCCATTGCCAGCTGCACGTGTGGGTGTTTTCACCGATTCCACTGTAATAACTTCAATTGCCTTTCTTCTCCATCAGAAAGACAATGTTATTTTGCCCAAAGTCACTTGCTTTAGAATGGGTTTTCCCCTTTATTTCTGTGAATAAACATGGCCAGAGAAAAACAGATGGTTTTAGCAGATTTTGATAGCTGTTCCCATAAAAAGACTTCCTAGCAGCTTTAATTTTTGCACAACATAGATTATAAAGAATTAGAGTGCTCTGCACTTTCTTGTTTCTTTGAGCCTGACAGACCACACATCAGCAGAACCCAAGTTTAATTCAGTCTGCTTGCTTGGTTCCCTCGCTTTCAGCTAGAAAGTGATGAAACCCTACAAAAGAGTAAAATTACAAAACTGGTATGTAATCGAGTGTAATTCAGCAAATGAAGAGACTTTGTTTAAGTGTAGCATTCCCACTAGACTAGTATCTGGATTCAGAGGGAAGGTAAAGCTTATTAAATGCTAGCACAGTGTTGACCTGTCAAGACTGGTGTAACGTGTTCTTCATTTTTAGACCTATGGTGTTTTTTTTCTTCCCTAAGACCATTTTTTTTGTTTGTGGGTTTGTTTTTTCATGAGGTAAAAGTTTGCATTATTTAGTTTCTAAGGTAAGTTTATTCTAAAGTGAAAACTTTATTCAGAACTATTACATTTAGTTCTTGACAAGTTCCCTGTGAATTTAAGGGACTTGAGAGATACTATGGTTTGCACTACTCTTGTAAGAGTGGAGGTGAAAAGTGCTAGAAGAGCTTGGGGTAACAAGTGCAACCATTCATTAATTAAATAATGTGCCTAGTTGCCAGATGGAGATATGGAGTGGCCCACAGTGCCAGTACCGGGTCAGGATGCCTCAAGTTGCACATGAAGCACTAAAATGCATTTGAAGTTTTAAACATCTTGTCTGATAGTAGTAGAATGGGAGAGAGAAACAGGAATTTGATCTCAAGTTACTGTCTAGACACCAAGCAATGCTTAAGATACCTGTCTAGTTACTGCACCTTTTAGTATTACTAATCACTAGTTGTGCTGTTTAATGTCATCATCAAACCTCCACCTATTGGTATAAATACTTGTCCCAATTCCTCTCCCCAAGCAAGCATCCGAGTTCAAACAACACATGAGAAACTCCTCTATCAGTTTGGTCTGCTCCTATTTCCTGCCTGTGTTTTCCAAGGAATTTGTGTCCTTTTGCAGGTAAAATACGAGTAAATATACCCTGTCTCTTAGCTCCTCAATGAGGTACTGCACAGGAAAGCCTGCCACAGTCATTCTGGCTTACATACTTTATTCAGGTATATTCGCTCCCCCTTCCCCCCGCTAGGTTTAAGGAACCTTGATGTTACCCTTAAAAGATTAAGTGTCAGCAAACACAGAGCATTCAAAAATCTTGTGCTCAGCCTTTGACTTGTGCTACTAGACTCTGGTATGTACCACTTAAGGCTTTGTTTCCATCGCGCTAAGTATGCTTCACCTTCTTCACTTACAGTTTAGAACGGGGGTTTTTTTTGTGACTCCGTCAAATCTAAGTAGAGTCATTCTAGTGCCTGGATGAGACCTCTCGGGAATATACACATATTGCAGGCAGCAGAAACAGCAATTTACATCTTTTTTTTTTACAGCATTGTTCACCTTGGCATCCCTCCCCTTTTCTATGCTAGACAGAGCTCTACTGCTGCAGGTAGGCCTCTCAGACTAAACAAAACTTCTCACCTCCTGCTGTCACTGAAGGTATGTAATGATGGCTTTAAAGAAAAAAAAAAAGTCATTAAAGCCAGAGTCTGTCCCCGTTTAAACCTAGAGGAACATCTAAGTATCTGATGTTGACTTCTAAAGTAGTGAGGTCGTCTGTGTTCTTAACCTGTCACGTGCTACTCTTCCATGCTTCTGAACAATGGTGTTTCAGCAGCAGACAAAGCAATCTCTCTACTGCCCTTCTCTGGAGGATAAATGACTGCTAAATCTTCTGAGATTGTCCAGTGAAAAGTGACAGGGATAATAAATTTTTATTTAATTGAAATAAGCTACTGAAAAGCACTCTACAGCCCCCCTTTTTGAGTCGTTGCCAGAAGTCAGCTGCTGCGTCTTGCGTGCATCTCTGCAAGTACAAGACCATGTCTTCATCCAGTGAAAAGTGTCAATGATACTTCAAACTCGCTGAGGATTTTGTATGTGCAGATTCTATGACAGGGCTTGTTAATTCTGTAATGCAGCTTTGTTTCACTGAGGCTTTTCAGTTAAATATTCTGACGGTTTTTTCCTTGCTCTAACCTAAACTTCTCTTGAATTCGCGCCTTCTATTTTTGATGTTGAGTCTTTCTGCTGCTCCTAATCTGCCTCAGGCTAGCAAATTGTAGTTCAGTGAGTGCACTGACAGAATTTACTGGTCCTATCTTTACACGCAGTCTTACAAGTTGCAGTGAGGCACTCCAAACACTATTTTTGAAAAGAAAGAAAAACAAAAAAAACCCACAAAAAAGAAGTTCTTAACTTTCTTAGCTTTCACAAACTGTGCTTTCATAATCTACATTCCAAACAGAGCTAAGTAAATAATCTGTCATGTATACTTTAATTGATTAATTCAAGGAAAATTTCAGGAGAAATTGGTCCCAGGTGAAGAGTGGTTCACTGATTAAGCCTCATTTTGAGTGCCTGTGAGAGGGATAGTTTTTAGAAGTAGTAATCAAGGGCAGGTTTGCACAACTGGAGACGGGAGAGGTGGTTATAGCTCTTTACAGCAGTTATTTCTCTTA